CCGCCCGAGCGTTTGTGCGAGGTGGTCTGCAGGAGCCCGAGGTCGAAGTGGGCAGAGGGGAAGTTAGCTGTTAGTGTAGAGTTAGCAGGCGGCCACAGCCGCCAGGTTAGTAGTAGCAGTGTGTGTGTGTGTGTGTGTGTGTGTACAGTGAGTGTGCGCGTGTGGGGTATTCAGGGTGATCCAGAGTGGAGTGTGTGTGTGCGACAGTGTTGGACACAGTGACGACAGTGGCTGTACAGGGCGCCTGTGCGCCATAGCTTGTGGGACGAAGTTTGCATCTGAACTGTGTTCGCGACTTCCATATCTCTGAGTTTTGAGTGGGCGCCTAGCTCCAGCCTGTTTGCCATCTGTTGTATGCATGCAAGTTGATAAATAAAGAGAGTCTGATTGCATTGGTATCGGAGCTGGTACCCGTTACTTCGTGCACCATCGTTGTCAGGCGCCATAGCTCTGCTGCGCCAAGAAGAAGGAAGGTTCACCATAGCCGCGCCGTTGAAGAAGAAGACTGTCCGCCGTAGCTGTGCTGCGGAAGAAGGCGCCGCGTACCTGCAAGGAGGGACAACGAAGGTGAAGGCGGACATAGCCGGGGGTGACGAAGAAGACAAAGGTGAGGGAGAAGAAAGGTGGCAAAGGTGAGAGAGAAGGCGGAGGCAGCCATAGCCGAGTTGGCCGACGACCTTCGCGTTGACCAGGCGTTGACCGGAGCTGCTGACCACGAGATTGACCAAGCTGGAGTTGGTATATTCTTGCCAAGCCTTCAGCCTATTCCCTCGCCCTATGGATGTGCACTTACCCCATGGTACTTGTTGAGTCTGTCTGTCTCTTCTTTCTGCATTGAGTCTCTTCTGTCTAGGTGATAGGAACTCCGTGGATGAAGGATAGAGGTGCGTTGACCAAACCCACACGGGCTGAGTAGGGATTAATTCCGTGTCTGACGACCGACACGTCCCGGAGTACAAACCCTCCCAAGGACCGGTACTGACTGGCGGGCTGAACGGTGTGGCACGGGCGGCCCAAAATCCGAGCTGTGGGCTGCACAACCAGCTGTTTAAGTGTTGAGAGGACTTGCTGATTGCGTCGTCCTGTCTGCGAGGTTAAACAATTCTTGAGGAGTTATGGGGGATCTCCTTAAATGCCTCATGATCAGCGAAGAAGTCCTGTAGTGACAGCTTAGAAGTAGGTCTAGGCTAGAGACCATAGCTGACAGAGTCTGAACCAGAGTGAAAGCCAGGTGGGATTGACCGCAGGTGCTGGGCATCTGGGTCTGGTTTGTAAAGGACATTGGTGGCGAAAGCTTCCGTCGACCGTGGTAACCTGGCTGGATCGAAGGGGTGAGATTCTGTGGTCCGTAGAGAGTCAGCGAGTTAGTTGAGTGGGTAGGTCTAAGTGGTGAGGAGTGGGACAGTTTTGTCGTGCACCTGGACACCATGGACGACTACCCGATGTACGGCTTGCTCATGGGGTTCTCCCTCTGGGGGACCCGCTGGCGTCTTCTCTTTCCATTGGGATTCTGGCACACGATTGCGTGTAGAGTAGAGACGAGGCGTGGTGCGGGCACCACTCCTTACACCCAGGCGCAGAAGGAGGAGGCAGCGAAAATTCTGGCCGAGCAGAAGGCCAGGAAGGAGAAGGAGTTGGTCAAGCAGGCTAAGAAGATTGCCCTGCAACAGGAGCAAGCCGCCAAAATGAAAAAGTTACAGGAAGAGATGGAGAGAGTGAAGAAGGAGGAGGAAGAAAAGATGAAGGTTGTGGACACAGAAGAGGTGGAGGAAGAGAAGGAGAAGCAGACAGAAGCAGAAGAGATTCCCTTGATAAGAAGGTCACTGAGAAAAAGGGGGGAATCTAGTGGCACGAAGGGGGACCCATGGATAGAGAAGAAGGTGACTGAGTGGGTTGCCAACTTGTCACTGGGGGAAACTGAGGAGACAATGCTATACGTTCCCCTAGACGAACAAGAGGCGGTGATAAAGGAGATCGAGGCCGAAGCAGATCCTCTTAAACGTCAGACGATAGAGGAGGAGAAGAAGTTGGAATGGAGATTGCGTTTGACGAGGGAGAAGAAGAGGAGGATGGAGGAAGCTGAGAAGGTGGCGAGAGAATTAAGAGAAGTCAAACAGCAGAGAGCTCAGCTAGAAGCGCAGGCAGATACACAGGGGAAGATGGATGTGATGGCGAGGAATATAGAACGCCTGGCAAAGGCCGTTGACGGGCGACAGTTCTTTGCTAGAAGCCAGGACGTCACGTTGCGATCGATCCGTCTAGGCTTTCGAGAGTTCGCAAGGGACATGATGGTCCATGTAGGCACGAAGATGAAAGCTAGACTAGAAAACACCGAGCGATTCTGCACTTGCGCCATTGAAGGTGCCAAGTTAGTTGCGCCTAAGGAGGAAGAATGGCGTCCCCGTAGAGAGCCAGTAAAGGTGAAGTTCCCTGATCCATATAGTGGGAAGAGGGAGGAGAACTTCGATAACTGGGAGGCGAATACGAATTCATATGTTCACTTACAGATGATTTCCCCTGAGGAACAAGTCCTCATCGCATTCCACGCTCTTAGGGATGAAGCCACCAGTTTTGCGAGATCGCTCTGTCGTGCAGCCAACTGCAATAACGACATGGTCGCATACTCTCAGTTTACACCCCTGAACGACTTCTTCAAGTTATTGCGCGAAAGGTTTGCAGATGTCACACGAAGCGTTAGAGCTTTTGACAAGCTGCAGACCATCCACACTCGCCACTGGAAGAGCGCAAGGGCACTCAAAGGTGTGATGGATGAGCTGGTCATCGTCCCAGAACATGGGGTCACAGAGACCCAGTTGGTCAATCTGTTCTATCGTGCCATGCCCGAGTCTTTACGCGGGCACTTCTTTGTGAAGAGTCGGGATCCTGCCATGACCTATGATACTTAAGTAGGGAAGTCATGGCATTCGAAGCGCGGTCCATGCCAGTTACCACTTTCTTGCATAAGGACTTAGATATGGGGAAGAAGTGGAAAGACCGCAACATTTCAGGACAGGTCAAGGGCAAGGATCACATGATCCTAACTTTAGATGAGGGCGGCATGGAAGAAGTCCCCTACGATCAGATAGAGTGGGGGCTTGAAGAGGAAGAGGGGGACAGTAGTGCAAGCCAGGGGAGGACTTACGCTGCTGTCGCGGCTGGAGGGAGGCCGCAAGGAAGAGGAGGAGGCCGGGGCCAAGGGGGCCAGGCTTCAGGTGGTCGAGGGCAGGGCGATCAGGGGGTTGGCGGCTGAGGTAACCGCCAAGCGGGAGGTAGGGGTCAAGGTCCCCCGCAAAACCGCTCTAGCTATAATCGGTCATCATATGGAAGAGGAGGATGGCTTCCTGGGTTGCCACAGGGTAGACCGTGGGAAGACTTGGGCTTGGAACAGAGTGTTTGGCAGCAGAGGATTGACCGGGATCAGTGCATTTACTGCGGTGACCCTGGTCATATCATAAAGTACTGCCCCAAATATAGGGAAGCCCGAGCAGCAAAAGGTAACCGCCGCTAGGGGTGGCAATTGCCCTTATCCCAGGGCCATGCAGGGAAGAGCGCGCGCAACAGAGAGAAACTCCCAAACTGCATGAGCCCATGGCAGAGGTTGCTGGCCGGTGCCTAGATAGCTGTCTGAAGACTGCTTGTGTTAGAGTCTCTCTAGGCACCTCTCTCACAGGCGTGGCAGAGGAGTTGAAGGAGAGGATGCCCGCCTGGGCCAAGATGAAGAAAGAGGCAAAGGGACAACTAGTATTAGTGGATGTAGAGATTTTTAAATGCAGAGTAGGGGCCCTTATAGATAGTGGGGCCACACGCAGCTATATTAGTAGGAAGGCGCTGCAGAAGTTGAAGTTGGGGTTGAAAGTTCAGAAGTTAGAAGACCCCATTGTTAGTATCCTCGCAGACAATCGCACAATGTGAATCGAGGAATATGTAGAGGGAGTCCAGGCATATTTTCGCCTAGAGCAGGATGGAAAGGTAGAGAAGGTCCTCCATGCCTTGACTCTCCTCGTAGAAGACAACCTCCCATTTGACATAGTCCTAGGAATGGACTGGGGAGAGGCAGCAGGGCCACACTCCATTTGAGAGAGCATGAGTGTAAGCTCCCTAGTCCGTCAGGCGAGGTTAAGACGACCCGCCTGTTTCATGTGTCAGGAGTAGATAAGTCACTGGCGCATTGCTGTCTCAGTGCTCCCGCATTCGCGCGACTGGTGAGAAAGGAGCAGTTAGAGGATCAAGTCTTCGTAGCTTATATCAGACCTGTCACTGAGCCTAAAGAGGACAGCCCCATGGATCCAACCATCGCCAAGCTACTGCAAGAGTTCGAGGATTTAACCGAGCCGCCAACAGGAGTAGTAACACGACCGATCCAGCATCGGATAGAGATAGAGCCTGGCAGTAGGACTCCTAAGGGAGCAATTTACAGAATGTCCCCAAGGGAGTTAGAGAAGCTGCGCAAGCAGTTAGACGCGCTTCTAGAGAAGGGTTGGATTAGGCCCAGTTCGTCTCCTTTCGGAGCACCGGTTCTTTTTGTCCTCAAGAAAGAGGGAGAGTTGCGGATGTGTACAGACTATAGGGGTCTTAATGCGATTACAGTGAAGAATGCAGAACCATTGCCCCGTATAGATGATGTATTAGATCGGGTGCAGGGCTGCAAGTACTTCTCAAAGATAGATTTGAAGTCCGGATATCATCAGATAGAGGTCCATCCTGATGATCAGTACAAGACCGCATTCCGGACTAGATATGGGCACTATGAGTTTATGGTGATGCCCTTTGGACTAACCAACGCGCCAGCTACCTTCCAGCGTTGTATGAACGACTTGTTTAGACCGTGGTTAGATAAATTTGTAGTCGTATATTTGGATGATATCTTAGTGTTTAGTAAGACCCTCCAGGAGCATGAGGGCCATCTGAGGCAGGTCTTGGAGAAGCTGAGAGAAGTTAACTTCAAGATGAACGCGAAGAAGTGCGAATGGGCCAAGACGCAAGTTCTATACTTGGGCCATGTGTTAGATGGAGATGGCATAAAGCCTGAGGATAGCAAAATAGCAGCGATCAGGGACTGGCCGATGCCCCGCACACTAACAGAATTGCGGTCGTTCCTAGGCCTAGCTAATTACTACAGGAAGTTCGTGAGAAACTTTTCTACTATCGCTGCGCCCCTTCGCAGATTGTTAAAGAAAGAAGCAATTTGGTGTTGGGACAAAGACTGTACTTCGGCCCTGAAGAAGCTAAAGCGGGCCTTAATAGAGTACCCAGTCCTCAAGGTAGCCGATCCATCATTGCCCTTTGTTGTCACAACTGACGCAAGTCAGTATGGAATAGGTGTTGTGTTGCAGCAAGATGATGGCAATGGGTATAGACCCGTAGAGTTCATGTCTGCTAGAATGCCTTCAGAGAAGGTTGCGACATCTACCTATGAGAGGGAACTCTACGCTCTCAGGCAAGCCTTAGAACATTGGAAGCACTACTTACTTGGGAGGCACTTCAAAGTCTATTCAGACCACGAGACGCTGGGGTGGTTAAAGACTCAGGCCAAGATGACACCTAAGCTTACTAGGTGGGCCACAAAGATAGACCAGTATGATTTTGAGCTCAAGCCAGTGAAAGGAAAATACAATGTAGTTGCGGATGCTCTGAGTAGACGAGCCGATTACTTTGGGGCAATAGTGCATTACTTAGATATAGGAATAGACCTGCAGCAAAGAGTCGAGGAAGCATGTGCGCAGGATCCTATCTATAGCGACCTCCTTAAGAGAGTTAAGGAAGCCCCGGAGACAAAACCTCATTACCACACTACTGATGGGTTGCTGTTTGAGAAGACTAACGTAGTTGACCGTTTGTGCATTCCTAACAGTGAGGAGATCCGTAGTTTGATCCTAGGGGAATGTCACGACACAGAGGGACACTTTGGTTGGCAAGAGACTTTAGCTAACCTCTCATGCGCGTATACGTGGTCGGGTAGAAAAGTTGGCTGCATAGAGTACGTATGCAGTTGCAAAGTGTGTCAAAGGAACAAGACCACTACGCGAGCCCCTCTAGGTCTTCTCARACCTTTGCCTATTCCTGACAGACCCGAAGATTCGGTGTCCATTGACTTTATGGATACTGGGGTAAAGAGTAGGCATGGCAAGAGCCAAGTCATGGTCGTAGTTGATAGATTTAGCAAGTATGCAGTTTTTGTTTGCCTTCAGAGGCACGGACAAATTTAGTTATAGGGAAGTTTTTCGATCATTGGGTCAGTGAGTATGGTATACCGCTCTCTATAGTTAGTGATAGAGATACCAGATTCACTAGTCAGAACTCGAAGGAGTTGATGAGAGTTTATGGCTCTAGGTTGCTGATGTCATCTGGCCGTCATCCAGAGACCAACGGTCAGACTGAACAGATGAATAAGATCCTGCAGCAAGCTCTTAGGATGTACATTAGACCTGATCAAGTCAATTGGGATGAGATGTTGCCCAAGGTAGCCAGTGCCAATAATAACAGCGTGCACTTAGCCACGTGTCGCACTCCCAATGAGCTACACAAATCCTTTAGACCACGCAGACCGTTTGAGGGACGTAACCAAGATCAGATTCATAGGCTACCGCCCGGTACTAGGGAGTTTGCGGTACAACACGAGGAAGAGTTAGCTACCGTTGTTGAGAACCTCAGGAAGGCCCAACACCGAATGATAGAACAAGCTAACAAACACCGTCGCCTGTCCCGATTTCAAGCAGGCGACCTAGTCTGGGTCAAGTCTAAAGAGTTTGCTCCTGAGGAAAACATTTCGCAGAAGTTACTGCCAGCGTACAGAGGACCGTGGCCAGTTCTAGAAGTTAAGGGCGGAGAGGATGGGCCGTCCTACACAGTAGAAATCCCAGCACACATCCACACCTATCCCGTGTTTCATGCGTCAAAGTTGTTGCCATGTGTCACAAGTCAACAGTTTCCATCAAGAAGATCCATGATTCCTCCGGACATGGATGGAAGGTACCACATTGACGACATTGTAGGTGAAGATGTGTTTAGAACAGGAGGTAGAGGTCGTCCACAGAAACAGTACAAGGTCCAATTTGCATATCAAGAACCAGAAGACGACCGCTGGTTCACCAGAACTGAACTTCTAGAAACAGCTCCCGACATAGTTAGAACCTACGAGAGAGATAGGAAAGGTAAAGGTCCTGTCTTGGACTGAGTTATTCTCGGAGGACCTCGAATTTAGGCCGGCGAGAGTGAAACGATATTCACCTGCTAGCAGTAACGAATGCAGATCCCAGGGCTCGATCCCTAGACTTTACCTTACCTGTGTACATTACCTGTGTCGACCCCGAGAGTTGAACCCGTGACCTGTGTAATCGTAACAGTTGGTAGGTTGTCGTAGGGTTTGTAGGTTGTAGGGGTTCGATCTGTAGACCTGTCAAGCAGAGATCTTAGCAAGTTCTAGAAGTCGTAGCTGCTAAAGTCCCGAAAGGCCAAGTCGTAGCTGCTACAGTCCTGAAAGGCCAGGTCGTAGCTGCTACAGTCCTGAAAGGCCAAGTCGTAGCTGCTACAGCCCTGAAAGGCCAAGTCGT